AACAAAGTGACTTTGTAAAGGAATAATCAATCCAATACTTAAAAAGGAAAGTCTGTCTCTTTAAACAATATTCCCTTCTTCTTCAGGCATAAGTAGTAGAAGAACCTGTTGAAAAATGGAATTTAAGTTGGAAAATGAATCAAATGTTCAGTTGACCATTGCTGCTGCTACTTTTTCAGTTCTAGACTTATTTTTTTCAGTGTTCTACATGGATGCAGTGAATGAAAGTTATTTCTGATGTTGAGGAGAAGAATAAGATCACTGAAAGATATAATTACCCCATCTGAGAAAGAGTGGCAATGTGTGACTGGACAACTCTGCCACCAAACTGCTTTTTTCAATGACATCTTCATGGCTATACTTCATTAGTTCCCTACTTATTAAATCCCTGCCCATGATCTATTCCAAAGTGTGCAAAATTAAACTTTTAAGTGAAACCACAGCATCTGACCTTGCCACTTTCATATGCATTTTTAAATCATGTAAATATTTTGTTTCATCTAGGGATTTATTTATGGTGTATGGCTTCCTCCTCATGCTTTTCCCTGTGCCAGCGTGGGTTCTTCCACGGGCTACAGGGAAATGCCTGCCCCCCCGGGGGTCTCTTCTGGGGCTGCAGGGCCATCCCTGCCGGGGTCTCTCCTCCCCTCCCACCCTCCTCCCACTCTGCCCTCGGGGCTCGCAGGGCTGTTTCTCACCCGGTTCCCCGCCCTCAGCCCTGGCTGCCAGGCAGCATTTTGCCCTCCCTTGCCCAGGCTTTCCTCGGGGCTCTTGCCCTCCCGCCCGTGGCTGAGGGGCTCAGCCGTGCCCTGCGCTGGGACCGGCGGTGTCCGGGCGGGGCAGCCCTGGATGCTCCACAGATCCAGCGCCTGGGCACCTGCACCCCAGTACATGGGGAAAGGATGTTTTTGTTTGGATTTATGTTCTTGTTGTTTTTATCGTTAAAGTGAGATAAAGTTTTTAGGTGCTCTTAAAAAGAAAGGGAAAAAAAATAGAGAGTCGAACTCAAAACAGAATTTTGCCAACACTATGGAATACAGGAACCCATCAATTATTTATGTCTGACTTCCCAGTATGTTCCCAAAAGGCCAGTAGTACTTTCCCTGTTCATCTGTCTATGATCATCTAAGATTTTAATTTGATTCTCTCAGGAGCGTGTATATGCTCTGACTTACAGAATCTCATCTATGTTTTTGCCACACGGATAGGAAATACCGTACTGTTGTGGAAATTAAATGCAGCCAACTGACTTCTAGTAATTTCTCATCTATGGCGTACTCTGTTAAGCTGCTTAGCTTTTATTTTTCTTCTCAAACTTGCTCTAATTTTCCCACTGTTTTTAGTGCTAAGTTCCCAGGAGTGTGGTTTAAAAGCCTATCAGCCAGTTCATTTTATGAGAGAAAAGGAAAAGAATTGGGATTGCTTTTTTAGGGAAGGGAAGTCAGAGCAGAAGGAAAGGTACAGTGGTCATCATCAACATGTGGGATAGTGCTTTTCTGAAGACAGATGATGGAATAATTAGTTTTTTGTGTCTATGCTGGATAGTACAGGAAACACTAAGCTTAAATGTACTATATTAAACAGTAAAGCAAGTTTTGTACTGATAAGGCCAGTGGAACCTGGAACAGAGTGAGATACCAGTGAAGGAGTCTGTGCAGGACTGCTTCTGTGTATTAAATATGCAGAATGACAGGGAAAAAGACTGCCTTATCTAGAAATTTGGTAGTGGTCCAAGGGCACATAGGCCCTTATTTTTTGTAGTTCTACAGTACTGGCAGTTTTAAGTCCCATTAAAACCTGAGAATGTCCAATTTCTTATGGTGAAGACTGAGCTAAAATAAAAGTTCATATCTGAACTGGTGCACTAGTGCAAATGTGAGCCCTTACTATGTTGGTGTTTGCTGTTGAAACACTGATTTGTATTGCTGATTCATGTTTTTTTTTTAATTTAACTACCTTCGGTATAGTTGTGTCTCTGTTGCTTCTGGAAACTCATTCTCTGTTTCCTTTCTGTATGACATTTCTCATACAGGTTTATGTAATGAAAAAATGTTAAAGTGTATAAACTTAACAGTTCAACTGGATAACATCAAACTGTAGATTCAGGGATACTAGCCTACTAAGTGCATTGGCTGCAATCTTTCCCCATTGAACAATGTAGTAATAAACTGAACTCATGAGATAGATGATTGAAATTACATTCTCTGTTCCAGAAGAAATATTTTAATAGGGACACAAAGCATTCCTTTTAATGTCAGAGACATTTATTGTGTTTTTTCTGTTTCTAGATGACGAGGACATGCAGTGTGCCTTTTTATATCTTGTGGTGTTTTTACCCGTTTAAGAATCCTGAAAACATACAGTGGTTGCAGAATATTAGCTACTGTCCAGATTTTGAGCCTATTTGAAGCAAATACAGTTTGTTGAAGCAGCTGTTTGTGTAATCAAAATTTTTTTTCCATATAAACTGAAATTTGAAAAATTGTAGATTACTAAAGCAGTTATTGAAGTGTTTTTTGGTGGAAACAAAGTGTTTAAAAAAACTTACTGAAGTTGAGTGGTTAAAAGAACTTAATAATAGCAGCAGGCAGTTGCTGCCTTTATCACATGGATGTAATTGGATGTAAATTCACATAAACTCTTTTTGTTGTATCACTAGCACCTTTTTGGTCCCAGAGCAGCTTACCTATGGACCATGCAGCCTTGTGGCTTCTCTCAAATGCGCTTTAAATATTTTGGAGATTTTGCACTAGGGCAAACATTTTGTGTAGTTCTGAACCTCCTTGGGCTAGTGTTTATGAAACAACCTACTCAGCAGATCCTCCCTGCCGCGGGTCAGTCAGCCCTGGGGGAGCATGGGGATGAGCTAAGACGACAAAGGGGCTTTTTCCAGAGAGCTTCTTTGCCACTGCAGGGAAAGCAGCCCTACAGCAGGGGAGCTGCTCTCAGCCAAAGTGTCTGAAAGTATTTAGCGGGCGCCTCATTCACAGCTCTTGTTTTTCTGCCCACCCCAGTGCAATCTTGGAGAGGCAGCTCTTTAAGCCCCATGCTGTTGTAGTTCCACTTGTCTCCCTGGTGAGCTACCCAGGCTGGGAAGCATGGCAGAATGAACTATTATGCTACCAAATCAATTATTAGGCCACTTGTGGGTTTTTTTTTCAGGTAAATAGCCACACAAAAGCAAAATTATTTTTATTTCTATTATGATACTGCAGTTATTAATTTACTAAGACAATAAAATAACTAGATTGTTTTCAAGTAAAGTAAAAGAATAAATGTTTATATGTGTCTGCCTATGTGCCTTTTCTGTGGTACTTTATAAGAGAGTAGCAAGTTTAATTGTATGCCACAAACTAGTTAACTTCTTGTAATAGAAGCCGGTTCTTTTGTTTAACAAAACAAGAAAATGTAATTGAAATACCTTTTAGATTGGCGTATTGGAATTGTATAGAAGTTTTGTATGGTCTACTTGTATTTGTGATAGAAGGAGAGTATATCATCTGAGGTTTTAAAGATAACCTTCAAATAGTGGATGTCTCTGGAGAAAGGACATGACCAGCGCCAAAGATTCGATATTTACAACTTTCAGTAAAATTTGCTTACAAAAACTAAGCTGTATGAAAACATGTTATTAAAATTATGTATAAACACATTCTTCAATATATAAAATAATCTAGCCTGAAATTTGGGGAGATTTTTCTTGTGAAAAATAACTGACTTTTTAATAAATAATTTGTTTTTTCATCTTTTTGTCTTGCATATGTGTGCCACTGTCCTGAGCTTCAGAAAGCTTTCAAAAAAGATGGGCTGAATGTCTGTTCTTGGGCAGCACTGTAGCTTCAGAGCCAAAGCTTTATAGAATGTCGTCTCTCCTTCTTTTAGAGCTCTAATTTCCATGGCAAACTGATAGGGGGATGCTTGATCTGGGTATGGAATTTTATATTTGTTTTTACCGTCTATCCTTTCCCACTCTTTTCAGTCTGCTCACTTCTTCCAGAAAAGTTATATTTTGTATTTTAGCAGAATAGGGTCAAGGCGGGAGTTTTGTTGTTGATGTAAATGGTGAGTGCTGTACACATATGACCCCTCTGATGTGACATCCCTTTGAATACCCCCACTGCTCTTTAGGAGGAACATCCAGCTGGCAGCCTGTGGGCCACCTCTCTTCCACAGAATAATTCTGGCCGGCTTCCACGAGAACGTGATTTTATCGTAATGTGTCTGCACATAACCATGCAACTCTCTGCTCCTTTACTTCTAGAATGTGACACGATGTCTGCCACTAGAGATGTGCCTGTAGTGATATTTAGAGATGCAACACTGTAGGTTAGCCTTCAGAAAGATAAATCATTCCACAGTCATACCACCATTTTACTCTCTAAAAAAAATGCTAGAAAAGCCTTCAAGTGCTGAGATTCTGCTCTTTCTTTTTTTGGTAAGAGGTCTCAAAAATAGCTTTTGAGACTGGTGTGTTGTTTTTCTCAAAAATACTCTGACAAAATATTTTTAAAATCACCTTCTAGACTAGAAGAAAGGGATTGTTAGTTAGCTAAGCTTAAAATACAGTACATATTACATAGTCACATGGGTTAGTAAGTCAACACTAGATAACTTGTATTTCTCTCATGTATCATTTGTTGGTTTTCTCTTTGAAAAGCCTTTCATGATTCATTACTTTTATGATACTGTAATTTTATGCTGCATGCTGCCACTGGAATACTATACAAAAATCATAGCTATAAATTATTTGAATCCTCGCCAAATGTACTGATGGTGAATATTTCAGAGTAAGACTGGAAGATAATTTAGTATTTTGTTTTATAATTAATTTAGAAATAGTTTTAGTTTTAAATAAGCTGTATATTTTATAGTGCAGAACAGAAGCATATTCTACAATTTTTTCCTTAAATGAGTGTTATTATTCTTATATGTATATGATTTCTGATATTTATCAGCTTTATAATAACAAATTCATTGTTTTATTTTTCCATAAACTGCAGAAACTATGCCTGTTCCAGAACAGCCCTCGTCTTCTGACAAGACAAGTTCCCTTAGTCCTGTGTTGAACACATCCAATGGCGATGGCTCTGAAACTGAGACAACCTCTGCCATTCTAGCTTCAGTCAAAGAACAGGTATGTAAATGATACATCTGCAATCTAGAAAACAATATGATTTACTGTTGGTTTGTGGTTTTGTTTGGGTTTTTTTCCCCACAAAGATTTCATAGGTGGTACCTGAATATTTTAGTTCACCAGCGCATATTGCAAAGAATGTGAAAAATTTCTTCATGTGTTAGTATACCTTTGTATAAATTTAATATTATTTAATTGAATTGCTTGTAATATTCTCCACTTTCAGTCTTTACTGTGGGGGGTGGTTTTCAGATACCTCTCCTTTTCTTCTTGGAAGTCTGAATGTGGAGTTACAGTATACAGGCATAGCATAAGAGCTACAGACAAATGAATAGCTGTAGAGAAGATGTGTTATCCTAGACTTTTAAAGGATTTGTAAGAATTCTGGGATTTTAAAATTTAACATACACACGTTTTTGGATTTTTTTTGTCTGTAAAACTTAATGTGAGATTCTTTCAGAGCAAAGTTGAGTAGTGATAAAGGTTTTCAGCTCTGGATGATTGAACCCAAAAGTCTTAGAAATTTTCAAAAGAAAGGTTTTCAGAGGCATTCTCAACTTGATGCTAATAAGATGGGTTTGGACTATTTAAAGTAAATTTTTGTGTGTGAAGTGTCAGAGATTTTTCCTTTTTGTACATCAGGAGGTGGTTAACATTTCAGTTTGTGCAACCAGCTGGTCTCTGTTGCTATCTCATTTGGCTCAACAGCATCAACAGGTATCCCAAAGAGGGATATTAAAGATGGCTGCTTTTAGTCAGCTTTCTCCTTGTTGAAGGTGTCTGAATTGGTGCTCACATTGTAAAGTAGTGATCTTTACCTGCCTGAGACATTTACTGTGCCTTTAGTTAAATTAATGCATGAATTCAGCTTATGATATATAACAACTCTGGAAAAATAGCTATTGAATAGCAGAAATTTTATAAAATTTACGACATCATTCTTCATGGGTTTTTTTGCTATATACCAGTTCTCTCTTTTGGGTGGTAAAGGTTAGTCATATTTTCTGTTCTGAAAAGAGGAGTGCAAGAAAGAAATGTTGTAACACGGAGTTTTGTCTTGAGATTTATGATGCGTCATATTGATAGTGCCCATGGTTTAGATGTTTGTATGCATATTCTCTTCCATGATAATAACATTACTTGGGCATGTACTAGTGTTTCAGCCTGTGTTACTGTTTATTTTATAGAAAAAAACCTGCCTTGGGTGATGTTGAAAAATGGACAGGGAAGTTACAGAGGTAGAAGATATGTGTTGGAGTGTGAATCACAGTACTGAACAGTGAGAAGTACTTCTCTGGTGTTGGATGATTGCTGGTTTATGCCTGGTCAAGTGTTTTGCAAATGCACCTCTCACCCCCAAAAATAAACGAATGGAGTACTAGAGGGAATTGGTTCTGAATCCACTAGATAAAAAATATTTTAAGTGGTGGAATATTAGCAAAGTTATTCCGGATTCCTGTGAACCACAGCAAAAAGGAGCCTGTAATAAAGGAGTGCTGCATTCTCTTATCACCAGGAATAGCCGAGCTAGCTAACCTAAGGTACTGCTGACTTAAAAGATAATCTCTTGAATTATTGCAGTTCAAGGTAGCAGAATTTTGCAGGTGTTCTGTTAAGTGAACTTTTTTCTTGACAGTTATTTCTAGTCAGACTTACCTTGCAGCTGGAAGACTGTAGTAAACTCAAAAATTAGACTTGATTTTTTTTTTTTTTTATTTGAATGTATTTCTCAGAGTAAATGGTGACTTCAGTAATTTGACTTATTATATTTGTATTCAGCCACACTCACCACTGGGAAAGCTCTGTAACTCTAATAATTTATTTTATAGTAAAGCTTTGAAATAAAAATAATAATAAAAAAAATACACAACAAAACCCAAACGTGCTTTTGGGCTTTTACTTTTCCCCACAATACTGTGAGTTTTGACACACTGCCATTATTTAATGTTCTATTGGGAAAATTCTAGGTAAGGCTACCATATGATTGTTCAGATGGATAGTCCCCTGCTTTTTAGAAGGAAATGAATTGCTTTACTGTATGGTATGTGATTTTGCTCTGTGTGCCCATTTACTGTAGCCAAAGACATATCTAGAATTTTGGAAGTACAAACAGATACAGTTATTCAAAAGTACTGCTAATAAAGGTAAATATTATTGAGTTCATAATTAAGGTATGTTTCGACAAATCAAGTATATTACATTTTCTTCATTGGTGCTGATGCTTGTCTTTAAAAGGTTTCCTTGAATTTTTTGACCCTCTAGGAACACTTGGGGCAACTTGATTTGTTACTTCTCCTAAAATAGCTACAACACTGTCTTTGAGTGATGGCAATAGAGTAAACTGTGTTAATTATGATACTGATGACTGTAAAAGGTGCTTGCAGTCTTTGAAGAGGGCTGGGTACGTGAAAGGCTGGATACAAGAGAGGTAGTAATAAATGTTGTATGTATATGCTTTACTTAAATTTTCTATGTGAAACATAAATGATTCCTTCAGAAATCTCGAAGTTTGTTGTGCTTAGTTTGTACGCATAACCCTGTGCTGTCCTATTTTGAGGAACAGATTAATTTGGTCTAAAAAATTCATTGGGTCAAAAAATTGTGCTTGATATTTCAAATGTAAAATGATGTACATGATTGTAATGGCTCAGTCAGATGATTTAGCCACATGCTTTTCAAGGTGAAGATGTCTGTCAAAATAGAAATTGAAGCCTGTGTTTTGTTGTTGAGGAATTAGATTTATTTTGGGAAATGCAATTGTGGAACACCTTGCTTTACAGTATAAGCTATTTTATTTGTGTTTTAACCTCTGGACAATTGTGCTGATTCACTTTTGGGTTTCAGACTTTATAAATGCAGTTGAGAAGTGATAGATACAGAACATGAATCCATTTTTTATCCCTTGCTAGCAGGCACTGCTGGAGGGAAGGTCAGAATCATATGCCATATGTCTAAGAAATCATGAGATGACAGACAGTGACCTTTGGCTTAGCTGTTTTCAAGCAATCCTCATGAAAAGAAATTATTTACTTTTGTGAAAGTAAAAGTTTTGTTTTGGGGTTTTATTTTGTGTTGGTTTTGTTTGGGGTTTTTAGTGTTTTTTATTTCTTGTGTTATACTGGCAGAAACACTTCACCCAGTGCTTCACAGATTTTAGAAAACATAAGGCTATTTTTGTTTTGGCTTTGGCATCTGTTTTTGTATCTGTAAATACGGGAAAAAAAATTTCAACACAAAAGTGAAGTATCAACACTGACTTGTGAGAATATATGTGATAAATACAACTACTTCTGCAGAAAGAATGATGTGTTTCTGATTGTGAGTTTCCACCTGCGAAAGAAACTTCTGAATCCACTTGTTAAAAAACATCCTGGAAGGAGAGCTATTGATGATGCTGTTTTGAAGGTAGAAATAGCTGCTGGGGAGCCTTGTGAGTAAATATGTATTGAAGCTGATGCTTTTCCTGGAGGTCTCCAGACACAGAAGGTTCACAGTACTTTGGTTCTTGGCATACAGAAACTACTCCCTTGGAAGCTGAGTAGGATTGTAATGACTTAGCAGAGGCTAGGTCATTGGCAGAATTAAACAAAACAAAACAAAACACTTGCAAAACACAAGATAAATTAATTTTCCAAGAGTGAAATCCATCTTGAAGTATGGACAGCTATATTCAACTCAGAAATTGTATCATACATTTGTTTTAGGTTCTTTGGGACTCTAGATTCTTTAGCATCTTAGTAGTGACCTGTTTCAGAGAACAGCTTTCCCTTTCAGAAAACTTTTGCAAAGAACAGGTTGTGCAATGTTTAATATTTCTTTTGAATCCTCTTATATATATACTTATTTCAAATAAAGATACTTGTTTCCAGTTGCATGTTTTCTTTTTTTTTCCTTTCCAGAAAAAAATTTAGACTTCAAGATTTTTTGAATATTTCTCACACTTTTTAAATAAGCAATATGTTCTTTAAATCATATTGCTGATTCCAGAGAAAACAGAAGTCTTTGGCTTTTTTGTTGCTGGTGGCTTTTGGGTTTGGGTTTTTGAGTGTTTTTTTGGCTTTATAAGACTTATATTTTTTTCTTAAGTGACTTAATGTTACTTTTAAATATGTACTGGTTTTTTCTATTAGAAAACTACTTGTTTGTCGAGCAATTGTGACTTGAAACAACACTAAAAATCACATTCAAGGCAGTAATTACTAAGGGTTGTAGTGCATGTCAGTATTAAATAAGGGTAGTATAACTGACTTAAGTAAACTTCTACTTAGGTGTTAGTACTCTTTGGAAACAGGGTTATGTATGCCATGCACATCTTATAGATGTAGATGTAAGTAAAACTGCAGATAGAACTGGATGTAGAAGTTGGAAACTTGGTTATTTTGTGTTTTTTTTGCTCTGTCAGGTTGTTTTCCCTATGTCTTTAGATCATTACTGAAGTTTTAGAAAAAAACCTAGATGGATGTTGCAATTCAGAAAAAAATTTTTGAGGCTTTAACTCCAGAAGAGACTGGTGAAATAAATCATCTAGTCTGACCAGCAGGACATGACATTTCATACAGTCACCCAAGTATTGGGCCCCAAGTCTGATCACGGAATGACATATGCTCTCTTTTCCCAAATATAATGGATGCCATATTATAATACATATATTCACCAAAATAAAATCCCATTCTTGCACTGTAGGAACCAGTTATTACTCTAGTAACATTAAGTACTTGACAGGTTTTCCAAATAGGTTCAATTATGAGATATTAATGTCTTGCTTCCCCTCAAACAGCAGGCTCTATTTCTGCCTTTGAAAGTTTTAGCAACTCTATTTCAAACCATTGCTAATTATATTCAATCAATATATATTTCTTTCATAATCTCTCTTAAGTGTCATGCCAATATATTCACTTCCTTAGTTATAGAACTCCCTTTTTTCCAATCAGGTTTTAAAATATTCCTGAGAGACGTTCCTCTTCTGTTTTCATTAATATATTGATTTTAGACAAGAATTA